TTTATCGATTTAGCCACATAGGAACGTTTCGGTTAGCAAGGTCGATTTTACTGTTTTTAAACTACAATTCTCCATGATTTTCTCTCGTACATTCATATCTGCTTGATGCGTATCCAAATGAAAACAAATGACGTCACACATTATGAAATGGACAAAGTCTGACAATTATTTTAAGACATTTTTTATGTTTATAACCGAAAATTTACTTAAATATTTGTATCTATAAAAAGAACGTATAAACATAAAAAATGTTTTAATATATATATATATATATATATATATATATATCATAAATTATAATGTTAGTTATTCTCTAAAACATAATTAAAATATATAGCCTCATTCTCATGAAAGTCTAAAAAGTTATTCGTCACCTCCAAAGACAGGATTATTATTCGTATGTATATGCTTTTCTGTTTAATATAACTGGAGGTCTTCGTCCTTTACAAGGAGACAAACGTGATCTGATGAGAATTTGCGTGGTTAAACGTGACTTAGCGGGATTTTGCGTCATTAGATTTCGAGCCATGAAATCCCACAGCCGCAATACGGGCAAGTCAAGCATTGCGAAACATTATTCCGATTTTTGGTGGAAGAGATATTGTTCTTGTTTTCAAAATGTTGTCTGCAAAATCCAGACTTGCTTACCCGAATTCTTTCTTTTGTGAAAAATAAAGGAAATCCGAGGAATTATCATCGATATATTAATATGTAATAATCGGCTACTCGTTTAAGGAGCGCCCACTTGTGCTAGGATATCGAGGCAGAGCTTGTTGCAGAGCCAACTTGGTATTTTAGATTGCAACTATAACGAGTGGATCTTAGGCATACTTTATGAGAGAGAGCGCATAATTTGGAGTGATTAGCAGTTTGAGTACCCACACAGTACCCTCACAAACTCGGTCACGATGACTTCCTGCTATCACCACCATCGACATCTTCTGAACAATTTTGAACAATTCCGTCCAACCAAATTTCACTCATAAATCTTGGGTCAGCCCGTGTTATGGTTTTTAGGCACTTTTCACTTTTTCATATTCGGTGTCTTATGCTTGAACGTGACTATATATATATATATATATATATACTCCGATACATGGATATGAGTTTGTGACCCTGAATTTCACGCTTTTGCGATGATCAGACAAATAAAAAACAGTTTGTCAGATGATCGCAAAAGCGTGAAATCCAGAGTCACAGACTCATATCCCTACAACTGAATATATTAGCTCTATCAGTAATCTTGAGCGCTTTCCCCTAAGTACTGCGAATATATATATATATATATATATATATATATATGTATGTATGTATTAACTGTTGAATATAGGTCAATAAATAGCATAACTTAAAAAATAATCTAACAACAACTCGAATATAAGGAATTGATAGTAAGTTAATGTCTCATTAAGTCTTGTTAGCCAAGTGATTTCGCCATTAATCACTTTAACATTGCTACTTAATTCGTTCTATAAATTGTTTCTTTATGATATAAAATATAAGCTGCACACTCTAATATATATATATATATATATATTGTATTGGGGGAAGCAGATCATTATTCAAACATATATTGCTAAATAGAACAACAACGAATATCTATTATGTTTGATCATGTGCCGTTTTAAAGTACACTCAACCCACACTCAAGAAAATTACATTTCAAACTAGTCACAACACATTACATTGCAACTAGACATCTAGTTCCGTTGTTAATATTTCGGTCTTTTACGTGGTATGACGTCATAAATCATGAATTTACGACCGGTTTCATCGTATAGAAAACTTGTATGTCAACATAACAATATCATCTTTGATGGTGAATATCTTTGTTTAAATGTTTATATAACCATTCTGAAGATGGCTCATGTGAGCCGAAAGCTTAGATCAAGGAACTTAATAAAAAATTTTGTCTTTGTTTTCACCCGAAATTAAAACAACCACACGAAATTTAGAATGGCTTATTATCAAACATAATAGTCATTCATTGTCTGTTATATTTTACAGTACGTGTTTGAATATATATCTATCGATCTATCTATTTATCTGAAACTTTTTATCTATCTGAAAGTTTTTATCTATCTATCAGAAACTTTTTATCTACTTATCTATCTATCTGAAAAGTTTTATCTATCTATCTATCTATCTATCTATCTATCTATCTATCTATCTATCTATCTATCTACTATTCCAGTCTGTTCATTAACTATCTATCTGATTAATCCGACAAATTTTATTACTGAAACATTATTTTTAGCGGATAAACATATTTGAGTCTACTTTCCATTTATTTATTAAACTATAGTTTTTTTCGCCTACCGGCCTGAATGTTCAATAAATCTTATTACAGAAAATTATGTAATCTTCGGTAGAATTCGAACCAGCGTCTCCCTTTGGCAGGAGAATATGATAATAGAAAACGTGTCTACAAAGTATACCAAAAACGTCAACCTATCTACTCTCTTGACACAGTACACAGATACTACACTGATCCTTGACAGAATTGCACGTAAACAACACTTTGCGGGCAGGCAGGATGCAGAGGTGTTGCAATGATAATTTGCAGAAGGCTGAAGAGTGCTACTTAGATCCTATCCATAGTACACAGATATTACACTGATCCTAGAGAGACGTTTCGGGAAACGACACTTTGAGAATATGCAAGACACATAGATGCTGCACTGATCTCGGGGAAGAGTGTTGATCCTTACGTAAATAATATTGTCATTTTTGACGGGTATTATCCCAGAAACACGAATCATCGTAAAATGATTTAAATGCTTATTTAAACGGGACAATTGTATTGCATTTATGACAAAAATAATAATATTGAAGACAGATATAATGTTTATATTCAAGACTTACTGAACATTAAACGAAATAAATGACATTCTCTTACCCATTTATTACTTTTATTTATCTAGTTTAGCATACCATTAAATTTTAGTTCAACTATGTCACCAGAATAGAACTCTTCTGACAAGGTAGAAAATAAAGTTTGTTTCTTTCTTCGTTTCTCGATGTGTCTCATCTGTCTGTCTGTCTGTCTCTCTCTCTCTCTCTATATATATATATATATGAAAGAAAAATCTGCAATGTTATCCGTTCTGAGCTGGCATGTTTGCATAAGTTACTGTAATGAATTTTCCTTGTTCATTTTCTACAAATATTTCCGTGGTAATTGTTCTGATGAGTTTTCTTCACTGGTACCTCGACGTTGCGAAATTAAGCGCGGTACTAGATTGGCAGTTGGGTCTCATCATTTTACAGTTGAAATGTCTAGGTATAACCGTAAGTTCTATGCTAACAGGTTCTTTCCTTGTACTTCTCGCCTGTGGAACACTCTTCGAGTAGCTTGCTTTCCAGTCAATATTGACCTTCAAAAATGTAAATGCAATGTCAATCGTTATCTTCTGTATTCTTAATTCCTATTCGTTTATTGTTCTCCTTCCTTAATAGGGTTTTCTTTTTCTTGTAGTCTTTCAGACCCAGAAACACATTGAGTGGGTGTACTGCTTTGTCTGAGGTGAAATGTTTTATATATATATATATATATATATATATATATATATATGTCTAAATTTTACACACTTTAGCGTCGAGAATGTTTGCCATACTTGCTTAAATATTATCTGTTAATTCAATATACGTGCCACGTATCTAAGCAATGAAATAGTCTAACACAGCATACCATTAATCTGTGTTTCTTCGCTTTTTATCATTTTTATCTTTTCTGTCTTGATCTCCGACGAAGCTTTAATAAAGTGAAACATGTTAGATTATGATTTCCTAGTTGCTCGTTTTCCTATCCTATATATATATATATATATATATATATATATAGATAGATAGATAGATAGATATAGATATATTTTAAGACATTTTTATGTTTATACATTCTTTTTATAGATACAAATATTTAAGTAAATGCTCTGTTTATAATAAACAGTATTAAGCAACATTTACCGGCCTGAATGTCCGAGAAATTTTCATAGAAAATATTCGTCCTCCGACAGGATTTTCTATGAAAATTTCTCGGACATTCAGGCCAGTAAATGTTATTTAATACTGTTTATTATAAACAGAGCATTTACTTAAATATTTGTATCTATAAAAATAATGTATAAACATGAAAATGTCTTAAAAATAATTGTTTTGACTTTATTATTTTCTATATATATATATATATATATATATATATATATATATATATATATATATATATACATATGGAAATCCCAAACATTAGAAATAAGATTAGATAAATTAGAATGTAAAGCTACAATCTAAACTGTAGAGAAGATTATAGTATTTCTGTGAAGATGCTGCTGAAGATGCTGCTGAAGGTTTGAGAAGACTTGATTTTGTTTTATACTCTGCTGAATAGTTCCTCAGTTCACCAAAGATGGCTACCCCTCATCTTTGAAAAATTCAGATAACTTATCATTTTTGCAACAAGCCTCGTGTACCGATCAGAAATACGGTATAAAAAAATGAAGCTTCTTAACATTAATAGTGATAGCAACAGCCAGAAGCCATCACTATGCGAAGCCGAAAAGATTGTGCTTGTGAGAAAGGCCGACATACGTTGAACATCTTTGTCAATATAATATGCTTAATAATGAGGTTAAGAAAAGAAAGCTTCTTTTATTTCTGATGCGAAAGAAGAGGAAAAGAATTGAACTGTTCAGTAAAGATACAAAATGGACGATAAGGAGAAGGAGGAGGAGGAGAAGAAGAAGAAGCAGAAGAAGATGAAGAAGAAGAGGAGGAGGAGGAGAAGGGTAAGAGGAAGAAATGTATGGGTAGGTAGGAAAACCCAGGTTAAAAAAGAGGAGGAGGAAGAGGATGAAATGTATGGGTAGGTAGGAAAACCCAGGTTAGAAGAAGAAGAAGAAGGAAGAAAAAGAAGAAGAAGAAGAATAGGAGGAGGAGGAGGAGGAGAAGGGTAAGAGGATGAAATGTATCGATAGGTAGGAAAGCCCAGTTAAGAAGAAGAAGAAGAAGAAGAAGAAGAAGAAGAAGAAGAAGAATCGAAACAACGGAAGAATGAGTACAACAGGAGAAGAAGAAAGACAGAAAAAATCTATGAAGGCAGAAAAGGAGAGAAAAGACACAGTGATGAAAGAGACAAGAAAAAGAAAAGATATTTACAATAAAGAGGAAGTGGAGACGGAGTGGAAAAAAAAAGATGGCTGATAACGGAAATCGAGTAGAAACGGTCTTGTAAGCTCAAATCGAAGGGTTGATATTCCATTTCACGCCTGTTAATTTTGTCACTTTCGCAAAGGGAAAAACAGCGGAATTTTTCTGTTTTTGAAACCATATTTATATATATATATATATATATATATATATATATATGCAGAGAGAGAGAGAGAGAGAGAGAGAGAGAGAGAGAGAAAAGAAATTTTGATTATCCCCTTGTGATCCTCACTGGCACTTATCTTACTAAAAAGATAAACCTTTAAACCTGTGATATATTATTTAGGATTTTACCGTCATTTTTGTTATAATAATAATAATAATACTGTTCCAATAATAATAATAATAATGATAATAATAATAATGATAATAATAATAATGGTAATAATAATAATGATAATGAACTAATAATAATAATAATAATAATAACAATAATGTTGACAATAATATAAATAATACAAATAGTAATAATAAACATAAATATTGATTAAGAAAGCAATAATGAAACTACATATGTAGCAAGAACAGCAGATCATATGTTGCAGCAATATTCGAAGCAAGTAGGAATGGTAGACTTATAAATATATAAGATAGATCTTGGAAAGAAAATTCTCTTGGGCAACACAGTGAACCAACTGTCCTAGCAGTTGATTCAATATAATCTTTAGACCTCATGTCATCGGAAAACATTAGTACCGAGAAGGCTCAATAAGCCGTCATTCTTCCGAGGATTAGCATACGCCATGCTGGTGGAAGGTAAAAAGACTTCTCTCAGACGGTTAAATGAGAGCAGTTTCGTGTTAGAGACGTTAAATTTATTCCTTGCCCCAGTTAACAACTTAATTGTCGGACTTCGTAATATATAAATATATATATATATATATATATATATATATATATATATAAAACCTTATAAATATAAGTGATTATACTCGTCTGGAAAAACCTTAGGTGTTTCGGCTTGTAAACGAACAAACCAATAGCCAAGGGAAAAAAAGGGATAAAAAAAAGAAAGAACTAAGAAAATGTAATCGTAATATATATATATATATATATATATATATATATATATATATAATTATTTATTTAAAAATATGATTCCAACTCGCGACATAAGAGGTCTCATGTTTCAAAAGAGGAGCCGAAAAATTCAATATAATTATTTGAATTAAATTGAGTTAAAGTGAGCTCTTACTTTAACTCAATTTAATTCAAATAATTATATTGAAGTTAATTAATTATTATTAGTTATCATTAATTATTAATATATTATTATTATCATTATTATTATCATTATTATTATTAAAATTATTATTATCATTATTATTATTATTATTAATTATAAATAAATAAATACTTTCATAAAAAAACATTATTATATTTTTAATTTGCATCTTTTTTATATATACATATTAAGAAAGTATACGTGGCTTCTCATTATACTATATATATATATATATATATATATATATATATATATATATATTCCTTACATTACTTTTTAGTTTTATACATGTAGATGCGGATATTATATATACGTATATGTCTCTATGTATATCTATCTATCTATATATCTATATATCTATGTTGCTTACATTATTTTTAGCCTTATTTTACACGTGGATGGTATTATTATATTTGTATTGTCAACGAGTATAGTGAGGAAACTAATGGTATAAATGACTTTAAAATTGCAACTACAAGTTGTACGCAGCAACAGCCATCAACAGGCAATAAAAAGTCTTCAGGATTTTATTGACTGACGCTCGCTGGCTATTTTGGGGTAAAATTTGTCGTGCCAATTTCAAAAGGTCATTTGTGTGTTTATTCGTTTAACTTATTGATCTAAGCATTCGCTAGTATTGACCAGTGTTTTATTGCGGGGATTGTCGGTCAGCAATAGTCTTGTTGACTACAATTATTCATCCATTAATTATAAATATATATATATATATACGTGGACACATGGATAGAAGTGGATACTGAGGTCAAAATCGAGTGGCGACAGTCTGCTTCAGAAATCTGTAGGCCTGAAGATGGCGTTCAAGCATGAATCAAACAGTCGCAACTCGGTTTTGAACTCAATAAACAGTGAAATTTTTCCGCACGCTCTATCCCTGATATTGAGCACGTTAAATAACATAAACTATATTTTACAATCTATCTATCTATCTATCTATCTATCTATCTATCTATCTATCTATCTATCTATCTATCTAATGGACTCTCTCGTCGGTTTCAACGTATGAGGATCTGACAGCTTATTCATTCAGTTATGAAATTTTGTGCGATAAT